GCAATAGAGTCTTTCCATTCGTCGGCCATTGTTGAGGTCTTTTTGCCATTCATGTGAAATAAATTTGCACACAAAGATGGCTGCAATGCAAATAGTCTATAGTAATGCAATTATCAAAACCCCTCCCCCCCCCCCCCCCCCATCAACCTTATGCGGGTATGTATTTAGTCACACCTACCCGGTATGGATTGAGATTTAAGTCTGATTTTTTAGTAATTTAAACAAGTAAAGCTCTGAAATTGGCAATATCTAGGTTATGTGAGTTTTAACGCCAGAGTTTAAGAATGGAAGGAGGTGGAGGACAATTGATGGGTGCATTTAGTGTTTACTTTTAAATTAAAAAGGTGGGGTTTTTTTTGTATCTGCTTTACCTTTAAAAAAATATGTTTTTGCTGATAAAATAAAAAAAAAAAAATTTGAGTGTGGCTGATCTATTGTTTTTGTGTGTTTTTGTGTGGCTTAATCAACATGATCACGGAGGGTTAATTGAAATCATTGTCTGGATGGGTTTATTAATTAAGGAGTACATTGTACATGAAACGATGGGGATTCTCCTGAATTAACAGGCGGAGTATAAATTATACTGTACATTCAAGGGCGGATCCAGGGGGGGGCCAAAGGGGGCCATGGCCCCCCCCCAAAACGAACCAATTTTTTTTTTTTTTTATGTGACATCGCAATGAAGGCAGGCAATGAGTACACCACCATCTTTTCCTCAAAAAAACATTGGTTAAAGTGTCAGAAATTGCCTCAGATCGCACCACAGAGCATCTAGATCCAAAAAATTTTCGGGGCCTTAAGCGGGCCCCGAACCCCACGCCGTATTTTTTTGACCCACTTTTTTGGGGGACCAAAAAAATTTTTTTGGCCCCCCCCAAAAAAAATTGTGTTCTGGATCCGCCCTTGTGTACATTGTGCGTGTAATTTGACTGAAACACTGATGAGTTTCTCGAACCACACAAACTCGAAAAGGACATTTACTTTCAAATGTTGGCACTTCAAAAACAAACTTATTGCTGACTTCACAGCGCAAATCTGAAATCTTTCGGTGGATTTCCATTTTTAAGAATACTTCTTTTTTGTTGTTGGAAAAGTGTGTAAGGATCGTTGGAGAAACCTGTGAGCTTTTGTTGCGTGTAGGCCTGGCTAGTCATACAATATTTTTCCACTTTTGCACATATGGACAGCTATACCTGCCCATTCAGCTACAACAAGGCCAAAGGAAAAAGTCTAAACTTTTTGAACTAATTTAATGCAAATTTGATGCTTTTGTTTGTAATTTGGTCTTTTGTTTTTAATCCTGATCGTTAGCTCCAAAATTAATTTGAGTGAAAAGAGAGTCAAGTAGATATTGTATTTTAGGAATGAACTGGGTGGGATTAATTTTTAAAATTCCAATCTGATATTAAAATCCGCCCACCACCCGTAAACGTCGCTGGCCCCGCCCCTAACATGGAACGTTATATTGACGTTGAGGGCAGCAGAATGTACACACGTACACGTACGTAGTACATGTAGTACACGTACGCGATCATAAAATCCGCCTTCACCATAAGAACGTTCGTCGCTGACTTGTGCAGCTGTGTAAATCACTCGCCTTTGAATTTCGAAAAAAATGAAGGTCGGTAAGTAACAAGCGATTGTTTTTTAGACATGTTTTTTAAAAAGCGAAGATTATGTGGAGGATCGCACTTTTACAAATGTAGTTTACTGTTTAGATTGTGATTGATAACATTTTGTTGTTGTCATGATTGTTTCATTCCTAGCCCATGCCCATAAACATAAATGTGGCCAATTTTAATTCACTGCCTACTGGACTACTTCCGTAAATAAAGGCCACACTTCCACCATGTACAAAATACTCCTACAAAGTCCTAGAACTATGATGCTCCCGCTAGTTCTAGGAGTAGTACAAAAAACATGTCGAACTTAGTCAAATCATGGTCAAATTTTGATTTTCACATTTCTAGGCTTAGTTAGCTTGAGTAACTCCAGCTGACAATGCTCATAGTCATATTCATTCACATTACATGTGAATGAATAAGAGCATGTCAGCTGAGTTACTCAAGCTAAGGCTTAGTTTTGCACTCGGAGCCTCGTACTTTCATAGTCATAGTTCTAGGAGTAGGCGGAGTACTTAGTTTGTACTGTAAAAAATTGTAGTTTATTTTTGCTTTTGAAGCACACTCACCCTCTTTATAGGCTAATCAGAAAAGTGCTGCCTTTTTCAGATGTCCAATTTCTTGGAATTTGTTCAAATTTTGATATGCAAACGTCATGAACGTGTGCAAACGAATCTGGAAATTTCATAAAAAATAGACATCTGAAAAATAGGCAGCACTTTTCTGATAAAAAAAAAATTGATATATTTTCAAAATTGTTTTGACCCACCCTGTGACCCACCCCAAATTTCAATTTTTAAACGCTGAATGACTATTCATAAAAAAAAGTGGTTATTTCGGCTTTGTTATGATTAGCTTTGCTGTGTCCAATGACAGACATGACAGACGATCTCGAATCCGAGGCCCTGGGTATTTGTGGGTTTTTTTTCCTAATTCTTGTATTATTTTTTTATTACTTTAATTTAAATGAAACTGAATTTCAATTTTCAGTATTTCATCTGACCCACCACCCAGAGTTTCCAAAAAAGATCGATTTTTTTTTTACGTTGACTATTCTGAATGGCCCCTACATCTTATTCAATTTTAACTATTGATAATGATATTAGAATGGCAGGCTCAGTTATGGGTCACTAAACGACCCGAAACTACCCTGCCTCATACCCCCTGTAGCGCCCCAAACCTGCAAAGCACACAATGGTTTATTGATTCAATGGTGAATAAAAACAATACATATAAAGCCAAAAAAAAATAGTTCTGCTTCCGAGTTCCCTGCCTACCTATTCTGACAGCCCTACCCTCATTTGTTATTGGGGGGGGGGAATGAGAAGGAAAAAACACCCAAAACCATCAATTACTACCTTTTAGTTTTACCCTTGACTCACGCAGACACCTCCATATGATCGTACAAACAAAAATTGCCCCCCAAAAAATCCCTACCTAGAACAAATTTTTATTTTTTTTGCCTAATGCAATGTATATATGGTATGCAATGTATACATTTGAATAGTTCAAATTCAGCACAGCCAAACATGTACATGTACATGGGTAGGCCTACACCGCGTTATGGGACGTTTTTTTTATTGTCCCCACAAAGTAACGGAACATGAATTGGGACACACATACTTGTTCTAGCATGTTTGTTATGGTGTAAATCGAGGATTTTCTATTGTTCCTCTTCCGTTTCCTTTGTTTATACTCTTTTTTGCAACAGCTCTTATTGGTTTGTACACGTTTTCTAACCGAGGAGTTTCAATTTGGTTCCTGTCCTCCATTCATGGATGATGTTGCACGTTGTTTATCCTCAATTTACACCATAACAAACGTTGTAGTGTGGGGAGTACACACGAGTTGTCCCATGGTACTTTGTTTGTACTATTTTTTTTTGCAACAACTCTCATTGGTCTTGTACATGTTTTCAACCAAGGAGTCCTCGATTTGGTTCCTGTCCTCATTCATCGATGATGTTGCACGTGTACTGTATATCCTCAATTTACACCATAAACAAACGTTGTAGTTGTGGGGAGTACGCACGAGTTGTGCCCATGGTACTATGGGCCAAGGGGATTGAAGACGCTGTGGGGTTGGGACAGCAGAAAGTCCCCATAACTTGGTCCTAATTTGCCTAACAATAAACAACTTCCCCATAACGCGGTGACGGACCACCCAGGGTGTTCCTAGACTACCTCAATGGAGGTAGGAAAAAAAACACTGGGCGGGCGGGAAAAGATTTGCCAGAATTTCCGTAGGGGCGTAAATTCTGTTCAATTTGCATGACATAAAATACTAATTTAATTGACCAGTGGACTAATTTACTTCCCTGGTAATAATGAATCCCACCATAGAATATATCGCAATCCTAATGTAGGGTTCCCAACACCGAGGGTGCATGATCAATCATAGGTATAATGTAGGTAAACATGTACATATATGTACGTATATTGTTCAAGGTGCTATTCTGGTTAATAAATGTGGAGCACTGGACCATATTAGGATTATATACCAGCAACTATTGTAAACTACATTTACATACATATTGTACAATGTACCTGCATTACTGCACCCTTATCCACTATTAACTGTGAATATCCAGTGTATGCTTCCCACCCCTATTCATAGAATGGTGACCTTTCACTGTATCACAAATATCCAGACATCGGGATTCAGGGTCAGTATGATTGAATATTCAATTGTGTCTGGCCATGCACTGTAGGGCCAAGGCAATAGGATACTATAGTGGGCATAACCATGGAGGCAGGAATAACCCAAGGTCACTATATGTACATGTACGCAATTCAACAAATTCCATTGCCAACATATAGTTTGTGACCTGCTGCAACTTTGCCATTGTAAAATTTGTCATTCAAAGGAGGATTGAGGTGCCCAGATGTTTAGTAAAATTTGTTATTCAAATGAGGATAAGGTGCCCAGAGTGTTTAGTAAGTTTCTCCACAGCGAGCAGGTGAGGTCCGTTGTAAATTTGTTATGTTAATATTTCTTTCCAGTTTACATTCTGGACAGCTGGAATACGCCCATGGCTGCAAAACATGTTTTGAACGCAATAATGTTTAATCGAAAGTACATTCGTACAACTATCCTTAAAAACTGGGCATTTTTGTGTTTTTCTTGTGTTATTCGTGCGAGAACAAATTTTCCGTTTAAGACTGGCTCTCAAGATGGGCTCGCAACCACTGGTAATCGGTATAGACTGTCGTAGGCTTTTATGAATTTCTGTTAAAGCTTTCTTGTCTTTCAAATGTCTTTTACAGTATAATCTTTGTAGAGGTTACACGCTAACAACCTCATCACCGCAAGCAGCTCAAGTCCAAGACCACGAGACAAGACAAAGCCCGCCGGTCGCGTGTTAACGCCAATGACCAGCTCTTCACCTCCGAGGTGACAATGGAGAGTGCAGAGTGCGTGACCTTGTGCCCTTCGTGCACCAGGTCGGAGGTCACACTGGAATGATGAAGTACGACGAGGCCACCGTGTGTAAACCGGTCTTCCCGGCCGAGCTCCACTTCTACGAGATGCTCACACCAGAACTGGCCAAATTCACTCCAGCTTTCAAAGGTACATTTAATTTGGTAGACTTTGAAAAGTGATGTTTGATAACTTTTGATTTTTCCTATTACGCTTAACCATTTCGCGTTGGAGGACCCACATTTCTGTGTTCAAAGTTGAACATAGAAATTGACTGGAGCAGATTCCTGTGACCTCTGGATTCCCATTCCAGTGCTCTACCAACTGAGCTCTCCAGCCCTATGTTGGCGGTTACCCATTTATATTGTCAATATCTTTATTCATGGGGTGCTACAAGTACAATGTTCATGTATGTAGTTGTTAAAACAAGCAACTAAGTTGAAAGAAATTGTGTTTTATTTTTTTAGAGCACGGGACACACACCTTAATTGTCTTCAAACATCACCAGCGATAAAAACCTCAGTTTAAAAGTTAAAAACAAAAAGTGGATTTTCTAAATCATATTGTTTTCCTAAGGCAGGGTTGTTTGACAGTTGTTGAAACAAACTTGTATTCTCTGTCATTTTCTTTGTTGTTCCAAAACAGTTAGAACACACAATAAATTGTTTGTTTGGTTTTTGTTATTTTGACGAAACACATGAAACAGGTTTTAGGGACATTGCGTTTTAATGGTGATATTCTTTGAACGGATTGAGCAATTTCAGTAATTTTTTTCATCTACAAGTAGTTTCTGAAATTGGTTTTCCAGTCATTATTATTTTTGGTGATACATATTTTTTGAAATATGAAATACATTTTTGGGGGTGTTTGGGTTCCCCTTTTTTTTACTCACCCTGTACTACATAACATGTCATCTGAAAGTGAAAATTGAATTTTTATTTGTTTTGCTCCTACAGACCTGACTGTTTCATTTTCTTTATCCAACCAGGAGTTGTCCATGTTTTCGTTCAAGAAGAAGATGATGGCTCGTTGAGCGTCCGAGCCTACCCAATAAGGTCACAGCACCAGACTAGCACCGGCCCAATGTACCCCAGCAATGGACAAGTCTGGGTCCAGACTCGGCAGAAGAAGATGACAGGAAAAGTTCCGAGTTGTCACAGCAACAAAGGACAAGTCCTACGCAGCAGTTAGTTTGAATTTACATTGTTTTCTTCTTTTTTGGCCAACTTTTTGAGATATGGCAGACATAGAGGGAGCTGTTCGGTTTGGGTAAATACCAAAGTGTACAATGCCCATAAGGCCACAAAAAAAAATTCGGTCTCTGGTCAGACCAAAGTTCGGAACTGACGCGGCTTTTTTTTTTTTTTTTTTTTTTTTGTGCTTTTTTTTTTTTTTTTTCTTCAAGCTTGGATTGTACAGACAAAGTGGGTAACTATTTTGCTTTTTGGTGTCCTCATGTACATTGGTGTTCCTCCATAATTTGCCTTGGTGCTCTCGATCATTTGCCATGGTGCAATTTCCCATTCCTTGGTGCTCTTTGGAAAAAAAAAATTGAGGAGGTGCGGCAATAGAGGGCACTGTTGGAGCTACCGCGGAACAGTTTGGAAAAAAAAAAAAGATTGACGCGCATGATTAAAATCGACGCGCGCGCTGACCAGAGACCGACTTATTTTTTTTTGGCCTAAGCGGGCCCCGCAAGGGGTCCGGAAGCTCGCAGCGTGACCTTTTACTGTCGGGCTCTACTGTGCTGTACGTAACTCGTTTGTCATGATTAACATGTACGTGTATTCTTTTGTGTTAAATCAGAAGTGAGCCATCAGATAGCAAAGATTCCTCCAGTGAAGAGGACTTATTTGAAGATCACTCGGAGAGCAAAACAACTCGGCAGCAGTTTGAGAAGGGCAACCCGTGGGGAGTGCATCTGAACCGACTGCAGATGGCTCGCCATGCACAAAGACTTCGGCTCAAACAAGCTCCATAGTATCCTTGGCATATATCTCTGCAGACTTATTCAGCGAATGCAATAGAACGATTCATTAAACCCCTCTCAAAATTTACCAATCATAAAGGGCCATTATGTGCTGAAATGCGCCCAATTAGCTACAAAACGCGGGGTTTTTTTTTTTATGAAATGATGCTAATTGAAAAGAGCATTCATAAATACCTAAGACAGTTTAACCATTCTTATGGTGGAGAGCCTGTCATGTGGCTGGTCTTAAACGGATGATAAAGACATGGCTTGCTGGTCTTAAACACTTTCCAGTGTCACATGACGTTTTGACTCCTTTGAAATCCGGTGCCAGCACCGTTTTATTTGTTGAATGTTCACAGTCCTCACTTAGGCATGCGCAACACTACCAGTGAGTCAGTATTTCATAGTCCTACATTCCGCTACACTGGTACATTTGTGTTCTGCGCGACATCACGCAGTACGCGTGGTGCGCCCCAATCTCCATGTAAGAGTTGTTACCAGAGGGACTTACCATTGTATAGCAAGAGAAGTGTTTTGTTGATTGCAATCGTTGATAATATTTTTATTTGTTGACTTTACCGAAATATTTTGATTTATTTTTTTTGCCCAAAAAGGTATTTATAAATGGGAATAAATATGTGCTCGGTCGTTATTAAACGCTATGTTTAAGACCAGTTGGAGGTTGGATGCTGATAATTACACTCGCCTTCGGCTCAGGTAATTATCAGCATCCAGACTCCAACTGGTCTGAAGCAGAGTGTTTAAAACCTCCAAAGCACATGTATTCCCTCATTTAAACGTAGGATATTTTTGTGTTATTCTTGCAAGAACTCCTCGTGGCAGTGTAAAGTCAAAAATACTGTTTAAAGTGAAAGGCACGTGCACGTCCAGACTCTTTTCATTCTCTTGACAAAAACTTCGGCCCACATTTTCAGATCGAAGCTGTACAAGGAGACTGTTACCGGTAATTTCTGACAGTGACTTCCCTTGTAAAAGGGCAATTTTGTTTCTTTTATGCACAAAAACAGAGCAAAAACCATTGGTTCCACCTTTGCGATATTTTCCATTAACAGTTGAAACCCTTCCAGAGTTTATCCTTTTGGAGAATCTGACCTCCAAGTTTCGCTCCCCGTGCATCCTGGACGTCAAGCTAGGGACGAAGACCTACCACAAGGACCACTCAGAAGCCAAACGGCAGCTGCATATCGACCGCGATGCGGCAACCACCACGGCCACGCTAGGCCTACGCCTTTGTGGCATGCAGGTAAACATATTTTTAGAGTGTTGGAGAAAATGTTAAAGCACTATTGTTATTAAAGGTAGAGTCGACCATTTGTCATTGGTGCATTTTTTTCGTTTGAAGCAACAAAGTGCTCAAAATCTAAAAACGGGTGTTTAACAACTAACCTGATGAAGCGTTAGCTCTGTGAATGCTGTATATTTCGAGAAAACACAATATTCTGGATCTCGATTCCGATTCAAAAGTTGCTGAGTCATGGCACAATCCTCAAATCAGTATTCGGGACATGATTCTCATTCAGCCGATTGTTGCTACGTGATGTCACACACTGAACCGATTCTTGCTGATAATAACAAACTGCACACGTGTGTTTTGTGTCAACACACTTTCACCCATTCATGGATTTGCCCAATTACAAGCCAACTGCCAACGGAAATTTCCAAAAATGTGTCACTTGATGCATCTTTAATGTTTTCAACAAAATGACAGCATACGAGAATGAATAATTTCACAGGGAGTTTAGTGTCATTACTATCTTTAAACCAAGTAAGCTTTTTAACAATAATTTGGTCGGTTACTTTTTGGATAGAAGTCAGTGGTCTACTCTGCCTTTGAAGATCTTTGTCAATGCTATTTTTAAGTTATCAAATTCATGGCAAGTAATTGTAACTGTTTTCACGCAGTTGTAACCAGGCCAGCAAAGGCTCTTACAAATGCCGCAACAAGTACGATGGACGCCGCCTGGGCAAGGACGGCCTCCGGAGTGCACTACGCGAGTACTTCTCAACCAGCGACGAAGTCAGGATGGAACTCCTGCCTCCCTTTATTGAGAAATTGGAGGCACTCCTCCAAGTGGTTTCCTCGATCTCGACCTCAGCTTCTTGAGCACCTCCCTGCTCTTCATGTATGAGGGGGACGGGGACCAGTCGAGTAAGTCGCTGCAGGATACCAATGGAGACTCGCCGGAGTTGTTGACGGACCTCCGGATCATCGATTTTGCCAATTCGAGCGGGACCCCGACAGCATAACGGACATCGAGTCCAGTAACAAAGGATGCATCTACGGACTGGAAAACCTGCTTCAAATCCTGAAAGACATTCGGGCGGCGGGTAACCATTCCAGCTAATGAAAGCATCAGGACTCAGAGGAGAGGTTTTTTGCAAGCAATCTTACATTAACTGTGTTTAAGCAGTGTTTCTCTTTGTAAGGGTTTCCCTGTCACCGAAAATTGTGTAAAATTATTTTTTAAACCTTTCATGCCTTCTATTGTCGGTGATGAGATTAGAGATGCTGGATTGTTACTCGCAATATAGAAAGACAAAAGTGCACTAGTATACAAATGTAACATGGTTTGAGGGTAGATAGTCAATATTAGCTCCCCGAGGTATTGGAAGTTGACAAACTATTCGCCTCGGGAACTATTCGTAAACTTCTGGCTTGTGATCTGGCTGACAAGCACATAAGCTACATGCATGTAGCTCCTAGACTGATCAGCTTAATAAGGTGCGCGTGATGTACACATTCATCTAGACTCAATGTACAAGTAGCGTTTCACTCGTTAAAAATAAAAGATCAGTACATGCTTTCCAGAGATACATAATTTGTGCACCCTCGGATAACAATGGGTGAGTTTTTAGACGCTTGGAGGCAGAAAAACGCATCAGTCCTTCTCTGTTGTTTGTGTAATTTTGAACATACTGTTCTTTTTATCTTCCGCATGTAATAGTTGGGCACATGACAGCTGAAATAAATAATTGTTAAGATACACAGTTTCTTTGCTTCTATGGGCAATGGCAATTTTCTGGGGGTTATTTTCTCACAATTTTATGATTTTTTTCTCTCCACATAATGTATATTTTAGTTTTTAGCATTTTCAAAATGTTTAATACAACATGCACATGTATAAATAGCACTCATATATTGTTCATAATACTTTCTTAAACTGGGATATGCATGTTAAAGTATTATAAATCTCTAGTCTCCAGCAGTCTGTCCTACCCCAGACAAAATTGATATCGATGTACTGCCGAAGACTAGAGATTTGTTATACTTTCTTAAACTGAGATATGTATGTTTGCAAGATAATTTAAAAAGTAGTAAATGTGACAGTCCAATGGATAGAAAGACATCATTCACTGTACACAGTGCACTGCACACATCTGTTCCATAAAGCCATTTGTTCTGATCTAAAATGTTCCACTTAACATTAGTCCCTGCTTTAATAGGCAGTGCCAAATAATCTTTTGATAGTTTGTTGGTAAATACTCAAATTGCAAGTTGTACTTCAAATGGGGTCCGCTCATAAGTCCGACGCCTCATAAGTCCGACAAAATCGCATCCCCTAACCAAATAAAGGCCCATAAGTCTGACGCCTCATAGGTCCGATGCCTCATAAGTCCGACGCCTCATAGCTCCGACGCCTCATAGCTCCGACACCTCATAGCTCCGACACCTCGTAGGTCCGACAAATTTAATTAAGCGCCTTGTTGTTTCGACGTCTGACTTATGAGGCATCAGACTTATGAGGAGTCGGACCTATGAGACGTCGGACCTATGAGGCGGAATAAATAAATTTTATGCCTCGTAAGTCCGACGCCTCATAAGTCCAAAATTTCGGACTTATGAGCGTCGGACCTATGAGGGTCGGAATTATGATACGACCCCCTCAAATTCCGGCATCACTTTTACGCTATCTCCGACGACGATTTGGCGATTAACAACCGCGACCTCTGATGTGATATACGGTCCTTATAAAGTACCATTCTAATGACCAATTTTGTTCTGATGACTATACCGGTACATTCAGCGATATTTATGGTTCTTAGAGGGATATGCCATTGTCAAGTTCGTATTTTTAATCATAGTAATACTGGTAATATTAGTAATACAATCATGACAATGGCAGTGCACTGAAAAATAGAAGTATATTTTGATACCATTTTCTGTAACATTCCAGAATGCCAAAATATCCCATTTCCTTCAAATCAATCTCTTTTTTCCCCACCTGCTTGATTGGCAACCATAGCCTTTTACTCTGTGACAATTGACACACCAAAAACCACAATTGAAAAGTTCCGCAATTCTCTAAATAGACCTTTCATAAAATTGGTCACTGCTCCAGTCAACCGTGAATGTAATGACATGATCAGGGTGTCATTTTAAAGAGGAGATTCAACCCTAACAGAGGATATCTCCCTTTGATTTACATGTGCCCTTCTTCTGTTCCAATTAGCAATAATATCTCGGTTTGGTGGGTTTTTTTTTTTATCCACCCTGTGTATACATTTGTTATGAACCCAGTTGTCACGATGTTCGTTTAAATACGTGTAATGGTGTACTCTACTATAGTCTGTATATAATATAGATGTACGGCTTATTAAATTATTTTTTCAGGCCTGTGCATTTGACATGTAAGGAAATTCCTTAGGTTCACGTACCGCATCACAATAATTTTAGGAATGTTTGAATTTAAATCTGTGCCTTCCTATGTGCAAATTTGAAATTTAACATACATGTACCACTATGCATGTCATAATTTTTTGGCAAACAAATTTTGTCTTGCTACAAAATGCCACAGTTTGGCATGGTGCCTGATCATCGTCTTCAATTTGTATGCAGATTGTGAGATCTCTGTTCAAATAATTGAAGCAGTTAAAATAAATATTAAACAGTTAAATAGCAGCAGTATATAACTCCATGGTATTCAACTAATGAATGTTTTTGAGTGCAATGGTAAGAATAATGTGGCGACAGATGGATGTTCCATTCTACGAGGCGAAAATGGAATTATTCCATCTGTCACTGCATGAAATTATTCTATCCATTGCACAAAATGTGAAACATTCATTTTTGTTTTATACAACACCCGAATAAATCCTTGTCATCTGATTGGTCAGAGCCACCAATAGTGTGACCAATAGAACTTCTATTTTTACTGTGTGGCTGGGCCGTGGGTTGGGACGAATAATTTAATGACATGTGATCAACAACCTACCAATCAGATGGCGGGGATTTATTCAGGCATTGTATAATCAGTGTTATTGTACTGATGAAGTTATTATGGTTATTGTGATTGTGAACCAAGTCCTCACAATGTGGCAGTAGCCTTTTCTACCTTTGTTGCCTTAAGACCTACATGTACATCTGAAAATGGCACATTAAGTTGACCTCAAGGTCATAGGTCATTGGGTCAACAAGCGTTGGCCGCTCTCAGACTCAATCGCCTAGAAGTGAGAGTTTAGCCATACATGTGCTTTCTCGATAAGGGGGAATATTCTATAAATTCCATTTTTTTAAAAATGTTGCCGAGGGGCTGTGTGTGTAATATATAATGTATTCAAGAGTGGACCATTAAAATATATTAAGGCGTTTTAAATCATTTGTAAAGTTCAGGAAATATAGAAAAAAATAATTACATCTGAATCAGGCTGTAATATAGGTTACAAGTAAGGAGTGACACAATTGCCATACAACCGTGATCCCCAAACTTAATCTAAAATGTACATACTGATCAATACGTATTATTCATGTAAAACCCCACTTGAAATAAATGTAAACATGTGTTACATTTTTTAATCATGTCGACATGAAAGAAAATTAATTAAGGATCATCTTTCATAATGTGGTTTTTTTTTTTAAATTTGACCTTTCCAAATCATGGAAGTTTGCAGCGACCGATGCCTAGAATGTTAACACTCATTTGTGGGGCAGATTGAGAAACTTACATTTCCTGCAATATTTGTGTATATGTTCACCGTCGATTTGCCTAGACCTGTGGGAATTGTATGATGTATTTTAGCCACTGTCAATACAGTTAATGATAGATTGTTTAATTTCACTGCGCATGCTATATCTTTTTGAGGTACGTGCTTCACTTTAATTGTTCAACAGGGACAAGCAAAATACATGTCTTGTGCACACATTAATGTGCTTGGCCAGGGTTTAAACAAGTATCGTCAGACTCCGTAAAACTCACTACGCAATCCTATTTTGTACGCACTCACCTTTAGTTTTGCATTGGCAACGCGCGCGCATTGCAAAGCGTTACCTGTACCTGCGCAGACTATGGAGGATCGAGGTACGGTGCAAGAATAAAGTTTATCAACGGTTGAAGTCCCACGTGACTGGCTCGATCTCGACCCAATAGGAATGGGTAAACCGCTCAGTTTATTATGAATGAAACAAAACACACCGCAAAAGATAACTGAATGAAATCATGTCATAATATACACGTTATATGTGTATATTTTGCAAATGTAACTCTAAAATATTTTTTTTATTTCATATGATTGGTTATAAGTCTGTACATGGAATATGCGTAGTTTTAGTTTAGTTTGGTTTAAGTGAATTAAATGGTTAATTTACATGAAAATGTTCTGTTGCTGTGGTGGTTTTAATCGTAAGGGATGTTAGTTACTGATAAGTATATTTTTTTTAATGGGTAACGGTACACAATTGGGTGTTAACTATAAGTAGGGT